TCGTATATGACGCCAGTTGCGGATAGTAGATTGTCATTTTTATTTTTACATTTCAAATTGTATATTTTTTCGAAAATGCAATTATGAGTTTTCTTAAACTGATTTATCTCACTAGACATCACAGACGCGCACGCTTTGCACGCACTATTTAACTTTTTATTCTTTATAATTTATACTATATGTACAACTCTTAAACGAATATATTTTCACCATTAATCCTTTGCACAACAAAATTTACGATGACCGCTCGCGCAGTCAGGAAGAATCAATCAGCATCGCAGAAAAGCAACAATAAACTTCGGGAAATACAAAATAATCCATTTTACATATACCTTTACTTTTTTTAAAATTATTAGGTACATAAAAAATATCGAAAAAGTGAATATTTAACAAAATATTTTTTTACGTCAGAACAAAATATCTGGACTGTTATTTGTTTGCAATTTTAATAAAATATTAAATAAACTGTCACATACTATCGAGAGGATTAAATTATGTATAGGGAGAATTATGTGTAGCAAAAAAGTAATATATCAGGTATATGAGATTATTATTTGTAAAATATGTTATTATAATTATAATATTAATTTCTTGAAATATTGAAAATAAAAAAAATATAATATTAATTTTGTATCACCTATGTATAGTACCCGTTAAAGCCGCGTTAGTGCGACGATCAGTTCGGAACTCGCTTTCACAAATATTGCTGTGACGACATGTGCATGTAAATGCAAGGATCGTCCGTCGTTTCTTTGGGTTTTCGTTTCAATATTTAAATGGTCATGCGTGTGACCGAAAAGGTAGATATATTAGAAAGCGAGAGAGAAAACATAAAATATGCGCGTCCACAATATTAAGTGTTGCTCAATGTAAAACGAAATTTAAAAAAATGGCCTTAAAAATTTAAGGCCACGTCTTATGATATTTCGGTTCTACAAGCAATTCGCAAATGATAGTTGAGAGAATGACATACATTTTTTTCTTATACATTACATAATTTTATTAATATAAAATTATTTTATTAAGAAAAAGAGAGACATACACATAAATGTAATTAAAATATTATTTTAAAACTGTACTTACAATATACAAATGTAGTTACGTTTTCTTTTCTTTTTTATTTTTTTATAGTAATTTCGACAAGGTCCACATTCCAGTCGATGTCCAGCGAATAAAAGGAGAAGAAGCGACTGCAAGAAAAATGTAATTGAAAGAAAGCAGAGAGAATTTACAAAGAGCAAAGATCGTTCTTCGTAACGGCGAGATGGCTGCCGGCGAATGGAGTATCTGTTCACATCTTACCGGGCAGCATTAGATTGAAGTTGAAGATTCTAATACTGTCAGGTAAAGATGTCGTCAGGATTCCAAAAACAACAATTGAAACAAAGATTTATCAACAAATAAAAGCAATTTTAACTTTGATAATCTTGATATGTTAAAGGTCACTCCAATTTTTTTTATTTTCTTTTTCATCATATTTTATGAAAAATTTTCATATATATTTCTATGTATAAATAAATTAATATCGATCTTTTATTAATATGAATAAAATATAAAACTTTGTATATTTAATATAAACGATCGAATTTCTGTGGCAACGTTTACAGATTTAATAGATATAATTATAAGTGACTAAGAAATTCCTACGATATAGTAGAAGATTTTTATTGTCATAATTTCGTAAATTCTTTTGATAAGGCATATATGTATATGTCTCTCGCTTCCGTACGTGATAATAAACAATGGTATTTCACGAAATCTTATCACAGACTATGATTGATATGAGAATACGTCTGTTCTTTCTTGAGCTAAAATAAAGCTAAATTTTTAATAATACAAAAAGAATTGAAAAATATAATTAATGTGAATTTTATGTATATCCAACATATAATTGTGTGTCAAAATATGATTAATAATGAATCTAAGGTATGAGAATTAATATTGTTTTATTCTTTTATCTTTATTTAGCAAAAAATACCAGATAATATATTTAGTATAATAAAACAAGTTTTAAACAGTGATTCTTCTGAGTTTTACTTGGCCACGTCAAAGCCCCTGCTTGCTTCTCAGAGGATGGTGGAGAAGGTGGGGGCTACAAAAAGACCCCAAGACATCATGCGAGTAGTCTATTCTAAAAATAGAGGAAACGATGTCTGAAAGTTTCTCGACGATAGCGGATTGAAAATCCATATATACTGAATGTTAGACAAAATTATCATAAGAAATATCAAATAGAAAATAATTATCCGGATAAAGATATAAATTACTCTCTCGTAATTCGCAATATATAAATAATACATAATATAGCTATGATATATCGGTGTAGAATAATATGTAATATTCTTAATTAAATATATCTATGAGAGAATTAATTGAGAGAATTTTATTTTTTACGAAGCAGTAGGTTTAGGCAATGAAACAATATAATTTAGTTAATATATTGAATATTCAGTTTGTTTTTAAAAATTAGCGTTAAATTAATATTTCTTTCTCGGGAAATAAAATTTCGAAACGAAAGAAAAAACCTTATACATTCAATTTATAAATTACGTATTGTATAATACTAAAAGTATATATATTCGATTTTTCTATTTATAATTATTTTTGATTATTTCAAATGCTTTACATTTATCATAATATCATAATATTAGAAAATTACAATTAACGTGCAAGTGCGCGCGCGTGTCTGTGCGTGCGTGTGTGTGTGTGTGTGTG